GCTCAATCTGATTATAGGCTGACCAAACTCAGTCACACTCTCCCCTTTAATACAGGAAACCTCACTATTTTTGTGTTGTTTCTGGAAACTGTTATCTTCTACTTGCTTGAAATAAAGACAGAGTGTATTATAATTCAGTGAATTACTGGAGATAGAGGTTCAGGCCCTGGTTGGGGCACTTATGTGACCTTAAGCAAGCCCTTCCTTTCCCTGAGCCTCAGGTTTTGCTTCTGTGGATGACAGAATTGGACGAGACTCATTAGCCAAGTCTAAAAGCTAAGTCTCCTCTAGTGCTCAGATTCTAACCAATCTGATTTCCTCAGTACAAAAGGAAGAAACACTCTGTTCTTTCAGCAGTCGTGTGAGTTAATTATCCATCTAACTGGAGTAAGCCTCTGTTTTTATTTGGCTTGGCTCACGCAGCTGGGCTAAGATGGATCTTTAGAACAGAACCCTCATAGTACTTTAGAGACTATGAAGGGTAGGTTGTGATTCCTGAACTGAATTTTTAGACACAAGGTGTGTGTAAACAATTTTTTTAAGTTTTTAATTTTAATTCCAGTATAGTTATCATGCCGTGTTATATTCGTTTCAGGTATACAATGTAGTGATTCAGCAATTCTATAACATTACTCAGTACTAATCATATGTGTACTCTTTAATCCCCATCACTTATTTCCCCCATTCCCCCCACCCACCTACCCTCTGGTAATCTTCAGTTTGTTCTCTATAGTTTAAAGAGTCTCTTGGTTTGTCTCTCTCTCTTTTTTATTTTCCTTTACCCATTTGTTTTGTTTCTTAATTTCCACATATGAGTGAAATCATATGCTATTTATCTTTTTCTGACTTATTTCACTTATTATTATACTCTAACTTTATCCGTGTTGTTACAAATGGCAAGATTTCATCCCATTTGGGGCGCCTGGGTGGCTCAGTGGGTTAAGCCTCTGCCTTCAGGCTCAGGTCATGATCTCAGGGTTCTGGGATCAAGCCCCGCATTGGGCTCCCTGCTCAGTGGGGAGCCTGCTTCCCACCCACCCCCACCTACTTGTGATCTCTTTCTGTCAAATAAATAAATAAAATCTTTTTTTAAAAAAAGATCTCATTCCTTTTTATGACTGAAAAATATTTCATTGTATTTATATGCCACATTTTCTTTATCCATTCATCTATCAGTGCACACTTGGGCTGCTTCCATATCTTGGCTGTTGTAAATAATGTTGCAATAAACATAGGGGAGCATGTATTCCTTTGAATTAGGGTTTTTGTGTTTTTGTGGGGGTAAATGCCAAGTAGTGCAATTCCTGGATAATAGGGTAGTTCTATTTTTAACTTTTTGAGGAACCAGTTTGCATTTCCTAACAGTGCAAGAGAGTTCCTTATTCTCCACGGCCTCACCAAAATTTGTTGTTTCCTGTGTTTTTTATTTTAGCCATTCTGATTGGTGTGAGGTAATACCTCATTGTAGTTTTGATTTTCATTTCCCTGGTGATGAGTGACATTGAACATTTTTTCATGTGTCTATTGGGCATCTGGATGTCTTCTTTGGAGAAATGTCTGTTCATGTCTTCTGCCCATTTTTAAATGGGATTATTTGTTTTTGGGGTGTTGTATCAGTTCTTTATATATTTTAGATACTAACCCTTTGTGGGATATGTCATTTGCAAATATCTTCTCCCATTCCATAGGTCGCCTTTTAGTTGTGATTGTTTCCATTGCTGTGCAGAAACTTTTTATTTTGATGTAGTCCCAATAGTTTATTTTTGCTTTTATTTCTCTTGCCTCAGGAGATATATCTAGAAAAATAGATGTTGCTATGGCCTGATGTCAGAGAAATTACTGCCTGTTCTCTCTTCTAGGATTTTTATGGTTTCAGGTCTTAGATGGAGGTCATTTTCCATTTTGAGTTTTTCTGTATTGGTGAAAGAAAGTGGTCCAGTTGCATTCTTTTGCATGTAGCTCTCCAGTTTTCCCAATACCATTGGTTGAAGAGACTATCTTTTTCCCAATGTATATTCTTTCCTCCTTTGTCAAAGATTAATTAACCATATAATTGTGGATTTCTTTCTGGGTTTTCTATTCTGTTCTATTGATCTATATGTCTATTTTGTACCAGAGCCATACTATTTTGCTTACTACAGCTTTGTAATATAACTTGAACCCTGGAATTGTGATAACCTCCAGTTTTGTCTTTGTCAGAATTTCCTTACTATTCAGTGTCTTTTGTCATTTCATACAAATTTTATTATTGTTTGTTCTAGTTCTCTGAAAAATGTTGGTTTTTTGATTGGGATTGCATTAAATCTGTAGATTGCTTTGGGTAATATAGACATTTTAATAATATTCTTTCAATCCATGAGCATGGAATGCCTTTCCATTTCTTTGTGTCCTCTTTAATTTCTTCCATCAGTGTTTTATACTCTTCAGAGTAGAGGTCTTTCGTCTCTTTGGTTAAGTTTATTCATAGTTTTTTGTTTTGGGGGGTGCAGTTGTAAATGGGATTGTTTTGTGAATAAATGTTTGTGTATGCAAGTGGAACATGGACAAATGTTTTCTTCTTTCAATTTTTGCTGGTAGAAAGTGAGTGAGTGAAGGTCTTGATTTGGCTAGTGTAAAATATCAGAAACAAGGGAATATGGCCAAATGCTGCTACTCACAAAATATAGCCCCCCCCCAGAAGTTTACATTTTACTCAATATGCTAAGTCCTGCCTCCCCAAAACAGAGAAAGCAGGCCATTTGCCCTAAATGAACATAAGCAAATAAAAAAACCCTCAAGTCTGGCAGATCTAGAAAGGCACTCCATGGAGCTAAAGGTCTGCTGGAAAATGATTATCTGTTGTGTTTGAAGAAGGCAGAAGGCTTGAGCAGGACTCCATGTGGAGCTTGTTGCATGGACAAGTCTGGGATCTGCTATCCTGAGATAGCCATGGAGTAGCATGTATTCTGTCAGTGCCCACTTCAGGCAACATCTGGTGACGTAGGAATTGGGGGTAGTTTTAGTTGGTGGGGAACCATTATCAGAAAAAAAAGAGAGCAAGACCCTGGGCAGATGAGACTATCTTTAGGAGGGAACTAGGGTATCTTTCCTGGGACTCTTGAGACAGCTTTGAGGAAAAAGCAGCCACGATCAGCTTACTTTCACTTAAAACTTCACTTTTTAATCAAATGGAGAAAGTTGAGATAAATCACAGTATTATTAAATGATCAGAGGTGAAAGGAACTTAAAGATGATCTAATTTGACCTCTTACAAGAAACAGGGAAATGACTTATCTACCATCATACATCCAGGGTCAAAACCATAATCCAGGTATCCTAGTGTCTATTCCAGTGCTGCTTCCACAAGCCATACCCCACTCCCATTTGTTTGTTTGTTTGTTTTAAGGTGAGCTCATACAACCAACATGCAGCTTGAACTCAGACCCTGAGATCAAGAGTCACATGCTCTACCAGCTGAGCCAGCCAGGTACCCCTCCCATATTTTTTGAGGTGCTAAGGAATGCAAGGCTGTTTATGCTGCTATCATATTAGAAATCAGGATAAAGGAAGCTCACAGTGGAGATATACATGGCCTCCCCTATATGTTCTCTATTTCCCCTGCTTCTTAAAAAAGAAAAAAAAAACACACACACATTTAAGAGTCCATTCCTCTGTTAGCCACACAAGATGGAACATCTGTAGAACCTCTCTGTTTTGGACAAGCCAACTAGCTGATGCACTAGAGTGGAAACTCCCATGGAATTTTCTCTTAGAAGGAAACAAATGGTTCTCCAGGGACTAGTTCTAAGCACAATATTGAACATTTACTACAGGAAGTAGAACATTTTTTCTAAATAATATTTCTAAAAAGTTTCCTTGAAACTTTTTGGCTCTTACTCTTATTTATTTCTTAATAGAGCCTAATACTCTCAAAAATCCTGCATGTTCCTTTTGCATTAGATGTATGTCTATCTTGCTTACTTTGGATTAATTTGGGAAAGGAGGGGGTAATTTTCCATTCTTTAGACAACAGCTCATTTCTACACCTTGTCTCCTACTCTTACATCCTCCTATCAAATTGTAGGCATTAGGAATTTCTAAGATGTTAGTTTGGTCACCATGCATGCTCATTGATTCATATAGCTTCTGACATCAATATATTTACAGGCCCCCAAATCCAGAAGGGCTCTTATTTTTGTCCCTGAAAAATGTTTCTGTGAGTAGATACCTGTTTCTTTTTCTTTTTCTTTTTTTTTTTTTTTTTTTAGATACCTGTTTCTAATCTGACATCCATCTGTTATCTCTGGTTGGGTGCTCACAAGCTATCAATAAACATAAGAGAAACACCTGGTTAGAATTTACCATCTGCCATTTTTGCTTCCATGCTGGAGAATTAAGCAATTTACTGCAATAGGGTTTGATAAAGGAGGGCATAGGATGATTTTAAAAATTCAAACGTAATGAATATCATATCCATCTAACATAGTTTGAAATCTACCAGAATGGGGCACCTGACTGGCTCAATCAGTAGAGCATGTGACTGGATCTCAGGATCATAAGTTCAAGCCCCACATTGGGTTTAGAGCCTACTTAAAAAAGGAAGAAAGGAAGAAAAGGAAAGAAGGGAAGGGAAAGAAGGAAGGAATCTACCAGAATAACTCCTAACAGTTACAAACACAGCTTATGTAAGAGCAAAGTATATAGCGGAAAAGTTCTATCATTTCTTTTCTGATTCTAAAGCAGGAAGTTACACAAGAAACTTGAGTGGCGTTCTTATATTCATGTATCCTCTTTCTATTCAGTACTTGCTCTAGGTGTAGCTTTCCAGGATTGGCAGCTGTGTGTTTTCAGATAAAGTATATTGCATGCTTTGAGACCTTAGTGTATGAAGAGCAGAATGGTGAGGAGGTAGCATTTCATAAGGAAGGCCTCACCTATACTTACCAGTAGTGACTTCCAGGCTTCTGTGGGAATGAAAGCCTTATAGGTGTTGAGGTAATGGTGGGCGTGTTTTATTACAGGAAGCTGGAGACAACAATCAATTCTGTTGGAGGAACCTCTTTTCCTGTATCAACCTTCTGAGGTTGCTCAACAAACTGACCAAATGGAAGCATTCCAGAACCATGGTGAGTGGGGCTTCAGATCATAGAGGTGTCCCTCTGACTGAATTTTTTTAATCTTAAATATTTATGGACTTCCTGCTTTGTGAGCTCTATAGGAAGACACTGAATGCTACATAAGGTGAACACCTAATTCTGGGCATTTATTCCATGTGAGATATTTATTCACCAGTCCATTTCTTTACAAGGAGCTGAATATGGGCCCTCCCCCAGGGCAGCTCTGGTTGGAAAGTTAGCATTGTTATATGGATTTATATTGGATTATAAGCACATATCCCAGATGATACAAGGCTAAGATTATTTATTGCAGCATGAATCATGAAAGACTGGAAACAATCTAAAGCCCATGAATACAGGACCAACTGGTATATCCTTATAATAGATTATCCAACCATTAAAAAGAACGAGGCAGGAAAAAAAAGGAGTGAGGCAATTCTATTGATATGGAATAATTTTCAAGATATATTATTAAATAAAAAGCAAGGTATGGAACAATGTGACAGGATATGTAGTTGGCTGTGGTTTTTGTTAATAAAAATAATATGTGTACCTAGAATTATGTATCCAGAAGATACAAAGAAACTGGTAAGAGTAGAAATGGGATGTGTAGCTGACAAAATTATTTTGCTCTTTATATCACATACTTTGAATATTAGGAACTTTGAATTGTGACATATAAATGGAGTGGTTCCTCTATGTTCTTGAAGACTAAATATAGATAGAACCTAGGCCATGGATTCCCAAAAGCTCCCCCAGGGTACTGAGACCAGTCAAGTTTGGCTTAATTGTTTGTGAGTTGGAAGTTCCAAGACACTTTAGATCCTTACCTGCCTTTCTTCACTCCTGCCCCTCTTTAAACGGGTAGATGCTGGTGGTATTCAAATCAGCTCCAATCTTAAAGCGGGCCCTCAAGGTCAAACAGGCCATGCTGCAACTTTATGTTCTGAAGCTGCTAAAAATACAGACCAAGTACCTGGGGCGCCAGTGGAGGAAAAGTAATATGAAAACCATGTCAGCCATCTATCAGAAAGTACGCCACCGCATGAATGATGACTGGGCTTATGGGAATGGTGAGTATTCTCAGAGCTCTTGACCTCCGGGAGTTTCCCAGGGTTTAAACAAAATTACATAAGTGGCTCCTGGATGGCTCAGTGGGTTAAGCGTCTGCCTTCAGCTCCAGTCATGATCTCAGGATCCTGGGATCAAGCCCCCCCACCCCTGTCAGGCTCTATGCTCACTGGGGAGTCTGCTTCTCACTCTCCCTTTGCCCTTCCCTCCCCACCTCTCATGCTCTCTCTCACTCTCATGCTATCTATCTCTCAAGTAAAAAAATAAAATCTTTAAAAAAGAAACTAAATAAACAGTTATCTCTACTCTTTGGTATATGAATTGTTACATAGTTTGGATAAGAAAGTTGTAATTATAGTCAGGTGCTGATATAACAAACATTAGGGTTACTGCCCCCAAATTCTAGCATGTGCCCAGATCCTATATTAACTATAAAAATCCATTTTAGGGGCACCTGGGTGGCTCAGTTGTTTAAGCATCCAACTCTTGGTTTTGGGTCAGGTCATGATCTTACGGTCATGGGATCAAGCCCCGTGTGGGGCTCCAGGCTCAGCAGAGAATCTGCTTGAGATTCTCTCCCTCTGCCCCTCCCCCCACTTGCGCATACATGCTTTCATAGAACCCTGGGATCATGACCTGAGCCGAAGGCAGATGCTTGGCCGACTGAGCCACTCAGGCACTTCAAAAATAAAATCTTTAAAAAAAAAAAAAGAGTAAACCATTGTGTATGGGACACGAGAGATCTGGGAAAAATATATCTCTAGCCCTGAAATAAGTGTCTGAGTGGGGTAAATAAGGTAAAGATTTTACCTCATAATTTTAACATACGCTGACACATACATTTATCATATGCTGGGAGAGGTCACAAACAAGCAATCAGTAAATCCTTCAGTATTTGGTCCATTCTGATTCTCCTTGTTGTACCTCTTCCTGCCTCTTTCCATTCCTTGAGAGCTGGTGATTCCATTCAAATGGGTAACTCCCATACCCTAGGAAAGCTCAGTAAAGGGAATTGAGTTGCCTTTTTGGAAAATATAATACATATACCTAGTAAGAAAGTGAAATAATGAAAAGAAAGTACAGGTTAAAAAAAAATGTCCACCCTCTCAGGGACCTTATTTCCTTCTCAGTGGTAATCACTGTTAGTGATGTTTCTAGACTACATCTAGTTGTTAAATAAAAAGCAAGGTATGGAACAATGTGATAGGTAATCACTGTTAGCGATGTTTCTAGACTACCCTTCCAAAGATAGTCTCTGCATATACATGTGTATTTTTTAAACTGGAGTGACAGCATATTATACACTTAGTACCTTGTAAGTACATACACTTAGTACTTAGTAATTCTGAGTTTAATTTGTTCTTCCCCGTAGACCATATACTCTGTGGTAGGAGGAGCAGAATCCTGAGTTGTATAATTGTTCTTCTTCTTCTTTCCCCAACACAGACATCGATGCCAGGCCATGGGACTTCCAAGCAGAAGAATGCACCTTGAGGGCCAACATTGAGGCTTTTAACAGCCGCCGGTATGACAAACCCCAGGACTCTGAATTTTCACCTGTGGATAACTGCTTGCAGAGTGTGCTGGGGCAGAGGTTGGATCTGCCTGAGGATTTCCACTATTCATATGAGCTCTGGCTGGAGAGAGAGGTGTTTTCACAGCCCATCTGTTGGGAGGAGCTGCTCCAGAGTCACTGAGCTCTTAGGGAAAAAACATCTGATAGATGGGGTTTGGCTCCAATAAATGGTGCTCTGCCTACCCTGCCCATTCGGCCTTTGTTTCCAGCTCTGAGAGTGCTTGTTCAGGGGAAAGCTGAATGGCCCGGGCCATTCTGGGGGCTTTGGGCCTGGAGATAGTACAAGGCTAGGATCCTGAGTCACAACAGATTGGTCAACTTGCATTGGGGTCAGTTGGGTGCCAAGTTGGCCTTGAACATCTGCTGGATCAGTCCTGGATAGGCTCTTTTGTGGGACCGCTCCCTGCTTTAGTCTTGCCCAGAACCAAAACCAGGCCAGCCTTTGCCAGCCCCAAGAGTGAGAATAAGTTTATTATGGCATTTGACCCATGACATTCATCATAGGTAATGGGAGAGGCAAGTCATAAAATAGGGAGAACATTTCCTTCTTGCTTATCCTGGATTCCTAGGACCCATAAGAAGTTTGGCAAAACCAACTTTGAAATTAAGTGTGTATTTTAAATTAAAAATTTTGACACCTCTCTCTAAAATTATTAGCTCAAAGATGATTTTAGAGCACCTGCACCTTCTTTGTAAAGGATGATGATTTACTATTACCTAAATACTGCATGTTATAGTAAGGTATATCATGTAAAGTGTTTTTTTTTCTTTACTCCTGAAGAGATCTATGTTCAATCTGAAAATTATTTCTCTGTGTATTGTATATGGGGCATGGAGTGCTTTGCTATAGCCAGTCTGAAATAGACCTCCTCTAAGGATGTTTCATGTTTTTCTGAAGCTACGTCAGTCTCCAAATGACTGGTACACTGTAAAAAAAATTATCCCTTTCATCCAATTCATTTTTTTTAATGACAAGTAATTACAGGAGGTTTTATTTACTGAGATGGCTATGTCCATTTGTGCTCATGATCAATTTATTTTTTAATTGAATGGAATAGCAAGAGCATTACAGCTTACCATTTTTCTTCTATGTTGATTAGTGATTTTTGTTTCCCTTTTTACTCTGAATGCTTTCAAAGTGTCATATGGAGATTTAGTAATACTGTTCTTACCTAAAAGTATTGCACACTTCTTTTGAGGACTCCTGGGTGGCTCAGTCAGTTAAGCATCTGCCTTCGGCTCAGGTCATGATCCCAGAGTGTGGGATCAAGTCCTGCTCCCAGCTCCCTGCACAGCAGGGAGCCCGCTTCTCCCTCTGCCTGCTGCTCTCTCTGCCAAGTAAAATCTTGGAGGAAAAAAATTTCTACTGAAGTTTGAATCACATACTTGTCAGAGCGCCTGGATGGCTCAGTTAGTTAAATGTCTGACTCTTGATTTTGGCCTGAGTCATGATCCTCAGGGTCATGGGATCAATCCCCGCATCCGCACTCAGTGAGACCTCTGCTTGAGGAGTCTTCCTCTGCCCACCCACCCCCCCCACACAAACACACTCTCTCAAATAAATAAATCTTAAAAAAAAAAAAAAATCACATACTTCTCAGCAGAAACGAGGTTTTTAGAAAAGCTTCTGATTCGATCAGGATCATTTTTTTCCTCTTCTATTCCCACAATTATGTCATCTATATTTTCAAGCTTTTTTTTTTAAATGTTCTCCCCCCTGTCATGGACACTATTGAATCTTTTTTATGATAGCATCAGGCTACTTTAATTATGCCAGGAGGTCTTGTAAGAAATGGCTTATTTATTCTGTCAACCACAGTCTCATTTGGAAGTCATGATACAGTTATTGACAATATCCAAAGAAACTAGACCAGAACTCCAACTAAAGCTTGGATTTAGCTTTTTTTTTTAAGATTTTATTTATTTATTTGACAGAGATCACAAGTAGGCAGAGGCAGGCATAGAGGGGGAAGCAGGCTCCCTGCTGAGATCCCGAAGAGATCCCGAAGTGGGGCTTGATCCCAGGACCCTGGGATCATGACCTGAGCCAAAGGCAGAGGCTTTAACCCACTGAGCCACCCAGGTGCCCCAGATTTTAGCTTTTTGAGCTTTAGGATAGCAGGACTTCTGTTTTTATGGAAAGATAATGAAGAATGTAAGTATGTAATAGATGACACTTCTTAAAATACTTTGTAAATTTTACCTGAGTAGGACAGCTGTCCTCATCACAATCAAAGTAATTCACTAAGCATATCGTTGATGAATCCTATTAATCTATTTTAATGTGGTTTAACTGAAAAGGCAATTTTCAAGGAAAGAGCAGTCATCAATCTATTTCTCTTAAAGCCATACAGTATTTAATTTGTGTCAAGAACAAATAAGTTGCCTTTTTAAAAATGTGCATGAATGCTTTCTGAGGCATAGAAGTATGCTGAGCTTTAACGTTTCATACTTTTTTACAAGTCTTCTCTTAAGGGAAGATTAATTCTCAGTGCAGATGGAGAAACTGAGATACCAAGAAAAGTGATTAGTTTCAAATCACATTTTTTTGCTGACTTGCTGGGATAGCATTCAGGTATTGACAGCCAGCCCCATATGTTAAAGTAACTGAATCTTCCAATTTGAGAATCCATGTGCGTGGTTAGGAATAAATTCAGATTAACCAACATCCAATGGTGATTACTGTTACTGTTTAGAAGAACATTACCTGAGTGATTTATAGATGATTTTTATTTGTGAATATCTCAGTAAAGTTTGTGTTGTTTGTGCTGTTAACATGGTTTATCTACTGAAAGCACTTTAATAAAGAGAAATTAAACTAGAGTTAGAAATTTGGTCTTTAATTCAACATAAAAGAATCTTAAAGACAGGTATAGAAGGGAATAATACATAAAGAAGATGAATATGTAAAATCTTGCATAATATTCCCTGGGGGTAGACTAATACAAACACAACTGCAAAATCTCAATGGCTTAGGACACACCTTTATTTCTTGTTTCTGGGTCTGCAGATCAGCTGCAGCTCTGCTCCACTCAAGTTAACTTGCTAGATTTAGCTCTGCTCCACACATCATCTTATACTGGCATGAGGCTGATGGACTAGCTCCTGGCTGGGACATATTGTTCTCATGGTAAGGGGCAGAAGCAAGCACCTAACCATACCATGCAACCACCTGGAGGGTGCTTAAAGCTCTTCCTTGGATGGGGCATAAGTCAAATTGCTCATATTCCACCGGCAAAAAGCACTTCATCTGGGGCAAGCCTAACATTGGGCCAGAGAAGTACATTCTACCTATGGAAGGCAGTTGCAACCAGGCATATGGGTAGAGAGTGAGTCACACAGCAGCTTCTCAGTGAGATTTTGAGATTGGTGGTAGGGTTTTCTTAGAGATTCTTGAGAATTTCCATAGCTTTCCAGTGAGCATTTGAAACCACGCATTTCAGTGCTTTATGCTGATATTTTCAGTTGTGACTTTCTTGACCTTTTGTGTCCATAGTTCCTCCAGCTCTTCACCTAACAATAATCTTGGTTATATAAAGGCAGTTCTATAAATGAATGAATGTTTTAGTGGTCTCTTTTTGTCCCACAAGTAGTTGTGATGAGTCTGAATTCTTTCTCTCTAGGCCTTTTAGCAATGACCTATATTTGCAATAAAACTAGCTGAGACTAAAAATGCTGCTGCAGGTCTGGAATAAATTTGACACTGGCATATACAACCATCAGACTTGTGACCTTGATCTCACAAATGCTATTATTCATGAGCTAAGTAACCACCTTAATATTCAGGCAAGGTCAAGTATGAACTTGGCAACTCTTTGGTACTCTGCCAAGGTGCTAAGTGTGTTTAGGGTAATTTGCAGAGGCAAAGAAAGTCCTGCCACTATCTCAGAAATACTGGGCATGACCAATTAACATCTGCTTTACCTGTACTATAATTCCAGGCCAGACTTTTCTGTAAGGCTATGACAAAGTGTTTTCTGTAATGAAAATGTTTTACAGAATATTATGGAATTTATAAACAACTTTTGTGGTTTTAGAGCAGCTATAGCTATTCTTACATGTGTTTAATACTAATACATATTTTAATGGATATTTTATATGACGCTTTTCAACATAAGAGACATCAAATACATATATAAATACATACATAAAATATATTTTAGAATAAAAATATCTACAACATGATTTTATTATCTATACAATACACAAAACTTTTGTCTGCTTTCTCATTTTTTCTCAACCAAAAAAAAAAAAAAAAAAAAAAGAAAAGAAAAAAGAATATAGTGATAGTGAAGAAAATTACCTCCTGTATAATCTCACTACTCAACAAGGGAGCTATTTATATGGTGGCAGCTTAACAATATAAGAAAAATGTGTAATCTCTAAAATAGAGTAGAACAAGGGGAGAGATCAAAGCTCTATCTATATTGGCAGAGCATTTTGTACAGCAACATGGAAAATACTTTTGGAAATGTTGGCATGGGTGAGTCCTATTGGTGATTTTTGAGAAAGCACATGAGTTTTTTTCCCACTAATGAATTTTCAGGGACCTCTGGTATTCCTTCAGAAGTACTGGTATGGAAAGTTTATAGAAGATAAGTCCTGAGTTCCTTATACTTTCAAATACATTTCCAGGTGGTTCTAAGTGTTTGGCTATTCTGTTAGCCTTAAAATGTTAAACCTCAATATTTGGAGGATTTTTACAGAAATGTATTCTTGAGTTGAAGAGATCAGAGATCATCTAGGACAATCTCCATACAACACAAGAATTCCTTTAATTAGTATCAGCTACGTATTTATTTAGCCTCTAATCTTTTCACTGACAGAAATCTCACTATGTCATAGATTGAGTACTGAAATGTCTACGAAAGAATTAGCTACCTCAAAATACAATCAACTTATGGTATTATTTGAGCCAGAAGAAACATGAATACATTCATGGAATCCAAACAACTAACATTAGCTATTGTACTTTCTTCCCCACTATATTAGTTTCCCAGGACTGCTGTAACAAGTTACAAGAAACTGGGTGGCTTAAAATAAGAAAAATTACTCTCTCACAGTTACAGGGGACAGAAGTCTGAAATCAAGGTGTCAGCAGGACTCCCCCTTCAAAGGTACTAATCATTTCCTTGCCTCTTCTAACTTCTGGTAGCTTCTAGCTTCATGTCACTCCAATTTCTGCTTCTGTCGTCACATTGCTTCCCCCTCTCTC